TTCTGGGAGTTGAAGTCCACCCATCTTCAAGTTGCCAAGGTTGAGAAACACTGATACAGATATTTCCAACCACGTATCTGGGCAGCGGGATTAACTACCATCTTCACCCTTCTTCCCCCCCTCTTCTCCATCCCATTCCTTGTGCTTCCTGGCTTCCTGGGTGGCTTGACATCAGTCACTCTGGGCCCGATTTGGTTGAAGAGCCACCTAGAAATGACCAATCATCATTTACCGGGCTCTCTTCTCGAGGAAAATCCACCTTTCCCCTTCCTCTCCGCCCGCCGCCCCGCCGCCCCAAAACCAGGAGATCTTCTACAGAAGATTTTCCCAGCTCGCCCTCCCGCTCTTCCTGGCGTCGCCCTCGAACAACCGGCTTAATTACGAAAATTCATTAGCCAGCACTTAATTACACCCGCCACGCGCCGGCTTAGCTGAGAAGACGTCTGATAAATGGCGTGTAAGTTACGCGGGGAATCGCGTTCCGTAATTAACCGCAAGCCGCTCCGCTGCGTAATATTAATGAGGCCTTTTTGACTATGCAAATGCCGCGGGCGGAGCGGAAGGCGATTGGAGGCGATTGGAGGCGGGGGGGGCGCCGGCCAGGTGGGTCGCGCTGCGCTTTTGCGCCGGGCGATCCGGCTTGGCCGCCCTGCGTCGGGTCTCGCAGGTCGGGTCGATCGCCCCCGAGGTCCTCGCGCTGCGCACGGAGAAGAGCAGCGCGGGCACCCCAGCCGCAGAGCCGCCTCCGCGAAGCGCGTTCCCAGCTCTCCGAAGGAGGCCGAGCAGGGGCCGAGAGCAGCGCGAGGGGCGTCTCGCTGGGCTCAGGCGCCGGGCGCGCAAAGCGGGGCGCCCCTCCTGCTTAGGACGTGGGAGCGGCGGGGCGGAAAAGCAGCCGAGGGATGAAGTCCGTATTAGGCCACCCAAATGTCCCAGAAAGAGGTGGAGAGCAAACCTCGGAGTTCTCCAGAACTTTTCATCAAGCAGATGATACAGCAGGAGGAGGAAAGTGAAGTCTGTTGGCGCAGAATTACTCTCCTTTGCCGCTGAAGAGGTAAGAACAGAAGGGGCAATTAAAGTTAGACACACAAGGTTTTGAGCAGACCAGGGCAGTGAAGGTGATCCCCACAGAAGTGGTGGGGGTTTTTTTGTTTTTTTTTAGGGAGGGAATAGAAATATAATAGAAGCATTGTTGGACAGCTTGATAGATTCAGCTCTACTAAGCTGAAGGTACACTTTCAAGGTGGGGGTCAGAAAAGTCAGGTGTGGCAGGTGGACGTACCTTCAAACAAGCCTCCCTCCCCCTTCTTTTCACCTGAGCATTTTCAGAGAAGGTGGAGTAGTCTTCTCATAATACTGCGTGGCCCAGACAGAGACAAGAATCAACCCTGCAAAGATTTAGAAACCTCAGAGGCAGAATTGACCTCCGACCAAAAAGGGGGAAAGAGAAGAGGAGGGGGCACTTTGCAAGTTCTTGTCAGTTGCCTGTCCTTAAAGGAACAGTGGGAGAAAAATCAGGTCTGTTGCTATGGTGATGTGCAGAACAGGCTCCATTCATAAAACTGCAGGTGCCGGCACACGGATTTGGCTGGTGGCTGGCTCTTTCTCCACCAAGGCCCCCCTCCCTGGTGCACCGCCACCTCAAGGCCACCACCTTCGGGGGGCTAAGAGCCAAGAACACCCAGCTGGGTTTGATTCCAGGGTTCTTGCCAAGAATACTGAAATCAAGGATGCAGAGTCCTCAGGATATGAGGTATTTCCCACACTTCTGATAGGTGAGTGGCATCTGGCTTTCCTGCCCCGCCCCCCACCCCCCGCCTGTGAATCAGGCTGGGGAGACCCTTCAGTAGATGCTCAAACACGTCTTTTTCTCTCCCACAGTTTCAGTCCGAGGAAGAAGCGATGCTGTTGGACTCAGCTGGGAGTGGAACCCACCTGTGCTGTTCCAGCTTGGCATGGAGAAAGTCTCAGGACCAGGGGCATCCACGGGGCGGGGGGGGTGCCACAAAAGCCAAGATGGCGGCTGCAGCCACATGACTGGCGGGGCTTCGGTCCCATGGCTGCAGCTGCCGTGTGTTCTTTGGGGTACCCCCTCCTGCCGGTGCCCCTGTTTAGGACTGATTCTTGGCCTCTCCGTGCAAAGATGAGAAAAACACCTCTCTGAAATGTTCAAGAGCCATTGCAGTTCACTGGCTTGGATCACACAGCCTGCTGAATCATGGTTGATTTAATAAATTATCGTTGCTTGGGTGCACACAGACTAGCCATATTATGCTGGTTTGTAAGCCACCGCCTATAGTCAGCCATGATATCTGAACCCACCATGAGTGTGGGGACCAGTCCCAGGCACACAGGGCAAACAGGTTCTCTTTCAAAAGCTGGAGAAGCTCTTTCCGGGGGGCGGGGGCAGAATGCCCTTCCTCCCAATCAGCCCAGGCTGGGGGGCTTCAGCCTCCCAGATACTAAGATGCCCAGCAGGTGGAGAAGCTCCAGCCAGCTGCTCCTGCTCCATCTGCCGTCCGGCCCTCTGCCCTCCCCTCCCCCTCACACACGCACGAGGAGCAGTTTCCAGTTTGTGCCAAGAGCAGCCGTGCACAGAGGCGGCACCCCGTCCTGCGCAGCGTGTGCCTGGCACTGCAGGCAAGATGCACAGACGGTACAAGCTCTTCGTTCTCCTTAAATGGTACATGACACCATAACCCTTCAGCTGGAGCAGGCAAGGAAGGTAAATCAAGCAAGAGCTTCGCCCAGATCCTTCTGCCAGTTTCCCAGGGCCCCAGGAAAGGGAAATGGGGGGAGAAGGAGGGCCCAGGCCGGTGCAAACCTCACACCAGGCAAGAGGGAGTCATAAACAGTGCTGTGTCTCCCCCCTTCCCTCTCTTTCATAAACACACTGGAACCAAACTACATGGAGTTTACAGTACCTCGCGTAATAGCTTTTTCTTTAAAAATATGCAAGCTGAGTAAGGAAGAATAAAGCTCTAGGCATGTGGAGCTACACGGTCAACTAAATCAACACCTTCCTTCCATATGCAAGAGCACCTAACCCAAACTCCCGCAACAGCCCAGCTGCAAAGACCCAGACTCGGCTCTATCCCAAACTTGATCAAGATGTTTCCCCAAGCAGTTGGGTATTCTGGTGCCTAGGAGCCACCGGCCACAAAAGGCCACCAACGCTTATTAAGAAAGGTCAAGTGGGCCATTGGTCCAATGAAGCCTCCATTCCACGCTCAGCTTCAGCTCGCCTACTACCAAATGTTGGTTTGCTCAGCCTTGGTTGTAGACTAATGGGTCTGGGCGAACCTCCATCTTACGCACGCCTCGTGCACTCAGGCCTTTGATCAGTTTCAGAGGCTGCATCCGTTGTGCTGGTCCCCAGTGGCCACCGCTGTCAGTTTGCAGACCATGGGGCTGCCTCAGGTTCACACCAATAACCTAGAAATTGGTTCTTGCAACAGGCGAGCCGCATCCTGAACTCCCATCCAAGGCTCATCTGCAATTGCTTCCATGGCTGAGTTCACACAACACATTAGACATAAATGGTCGATTCGTTTATGACTCAGGATGTTGTGTGCAAACGCTGCCAAAGTGGTGTGTTTATGGTTCAGTTTATTATGCAAACCAGGCAATTAGGTTAATTCAGTAAACCATGGTTCAAGTTAATCACTGGTCACAGCACTGTGCAAACACACCCACGCTGCTCTTGAGCAGTCACTGTGTTGGATGAAGAGCTCCTTGCCTCTTCCCTCCCCAGCTCAACCCAACCCAACCCAGCCCAGACTCTCTCAGTCCTGCTGAGTCTAAATCCTCTGGAGTGAGATAAAATTGCAGGATCCAGTTGTAGGGAAACGGTACTTGTATGTTCACACCAGAAACTCTGCTTTTCCTGGCACCCAAAGCCTTAAGCTCCCTGGGGGAAAAATTAATGTTATAAAACTGTGTCTGGGGTGTGAGATCTTGGCTTACTGATCCCTTCTTCTCTAGCAAAAGGCGGGAGAATTAATTGATTAATAAGCTTAAACCTACTTTGTTATAAGATTGCCTTCTCAGAATGAGCCTCCTCAATTTAAAGCAGAATACAATAGACTGAAGCTGATTAAATTCGTCAAGATTATGCAGATGGCCAGAAGGAATTGGGAAGGGCGTGCCTTTAGAAGGAGGGGGGAAATCACATTATAGAATGGAACAGATATACGAGCATCGGTTTTACACAACTCCAAATGCAACACAGTCCAACTCAGAAAGTCAGATTTACCCCCAGCAGAATACTTGTGGAAAATTCCACTGCAGTTATGCATGGGTCATTGACTTGTTTGATCTAGCACATCAAACATCTTTTGCGCTGATTTATTAGACAGCGGATGCAAATTTGGCTCAGTTGCAGAATTGGGGGGTGGGGGGAAGACTGCATGTCCCCAGTTAGTACTCCTGGAAGAAAAGCTGTATGAGAATGTGCGAGCCCCAAAAGATGGCTGGAGGAGTGTGGGTTTCAGTGCCCTGCACAGGGCTTGGGGAATCCTCTTCCCCGGGCCGGTAGCTTATGGAGGCCTTGGGAACGTGGGATGGGTGTTCGTAGAGGACACTGGCTTGGGACAGGTTTCCCTGGGCTGATGTTGCTGCTGTTCCTCTGCCAAGATGGATGGGACATCCTAGCTCTGCGCCAGGGAAATGGGTGCTCCAGCTTGGAAACCTCGCCCTTCCCTTTCAGCAGCCGAGCTGGGAGAAGGAAGCAACCCTGGTTTGCACCCCAACCCAAGAGGCCGCTTCTCCACCTCTCCCATCTTCCAGGGTTATGAATTGGGAGAAGGGGAACGACGAAAGGCCATCTGTCTATGAGATGCAAAATGGGATGGGAGCTTCCTTCCCTGTGCACACGCACACGCGTGCACACACACACACACTTCCCTACAGGCCTGTCCTTCCAGAGGTCATCCAGGAGATTCCACAAGGAGCTGATTCACTCCAGAAGGCAGGCGGGGCGCAGGCTGTAGGTCTAGCGAAAGGGTTTTTGGAAGGAAAGGCAGCGATGTGCTGGTTAGAGGAGGGGAGGCAGGGCACGTCTCCTCCCGTGTCAGGGCTGGGGGGATGCAAACGCCTGCGAGGGGAGGGGGAGCCTCACTCAGCCGGCTCACTTTGGCGCACCCAATTAGCGCCCAGCATCCCACCCCAGCCCGGGAGCTGGCCAGTTTCACCTTGCAAGCCAAGCAGCCATGTCGGGTAACCTCCAATAATGATATTTTGCAAGTACAAATTAGGTTTCAAGTGCTTTTCTCGGCCCTTTCCGTACAAGCTCGTGGTTTTGCCGGGAGGGCAGAGGAAACTTATTTCTGCACGGGGCAGAAGAGGAAGGAAGGCTGAAGGTTGGGGAGCAGCTCATCCGGGCTGGTCGGAGGGACCAAACGGTGGGCCCGGGAACACCCCTTCGCTTTCTTTCTGTGCCCCTCAAGCCTCTTCAGGGATGATTTCAGGAAATTGGGATGGGGAACATGCAGAAACGTAGCAGGACCTCAGATGCGCTTTCCATACCTTAAGCCAGGGTTTCTCAACCTTAACTTTAAGAAATGTGGACTTCGACTCCCAGAATTCCCCAGCTATGCATGCTGGCTAGGGAATTCTGGGAGGTGAATTCCACCTCTCTCAAAGTTGTTAAGGTTGGGAAACACTGGCTTAAAGAGTCAACGATGCCCTTCCAAAACTCCCAGGAAAACCTCAAGGAGGTCTGGGCTCTGACCCCGGTGAGATGTGGCTTCAGCGTTGCCCTGCCCGTCACAACCCTTGCCTTGTCCCCCCAGAAAGGTGGTGTGGCCCCCCGAGAGTGGCAGGAGTCACACCCCTTAGCCCCAATTTTCCAAGCTGCTGCCCTCCCGCCCTGCTGGGCTTCCGCTCCCAACGCCCCGGGGTCTGGCCCTGCTGCAAGAGTCCACCGTCCTTGCCCCTTGTATGAACGTCCTGCTGGGGTTACGGGAAGCAGCAGTCGATGCTTCCTTCTATTAGAACAAATCACCCCTGACTCGTATTTGTTTCAGTGCAAAGAGCTGTGTTTGTCTTTCTGAAACCTCTTCTTTTTTCTGCCACTCCCCTCAAAAGTTGCCCTTGGTGTCCACGTGATGATTACTTTTTAACAAGTTCCAAAAGGCGCCAAAGGCTGGGCAGAAGGAACCCCAACCAGCTGACAACGGGGGACCCACGGTCCGCCAGAGGCGACACATCCCAGCCCCACGGCTGCCCGGCTGGGGCTGCACCCTCCTCCTGCTCTCTGCCGCTCGCCAGCCTCTGCGCCCCCTCTGCTTTTGCTAAGGCTGGGCAGGCCCCCCACGGCAGGAACAGGGCCCCTTCCTGGGACATTGGGCGCCCCCCAGAGCGGTAGTGTAGGCCTGCCTGAGGAGCCCCCCCCCCCCACAAGGCCCTTGCATTTTACCCAGCCTGAAATCCGGGCGGCACCTTTTGCCCCGCTCCCCGGGGGGCAGACGGATTGGAGGCCACCAG